ATACACACATATATATGCAGTATTTTAAAAAAATATTTTAAAGTCTTAGACGTCCCTTAAACTGAATTGCTAATTAATATCTTCTTTGTATCTTATTCATAAAGAAGAAGCAGAATTTTATATACATTTAAAACAACTTCTTTGATATCAAAAACTAATTTGGGGGATTACTGGCTTTTAATATATAAGTCTGATATTTTTATAAAATTACTAGTGAAAATTTTTATTATTTTTTTTTCCTTAGAGTCTTTTCCAGTCCTTTTTGTTATTAAAAATCTGTACTAAAATGTATTGTTTGTTCAAATATAATCCAATGTACATAGAGCTAGTTGTAGCTACGGCACTGTGTTTATCGATCATAATGTTTTTTTAAAATGTGAATTTATTTTAATTTTCTCCTGATTTTAATCTGCTAATAGAAACCACTACTTCTTTAATCTGTAAAACATACTTAAGATATTCTTATCAATTAAAACAACTCTTGTTATATCTATTTAAAGTGTTGAGTTTTGATTGTATGAAAATCTTAAAGTTGACATTGATTTTTATTCAAATTTAATGGATTGCTGATTAGTCTAATTTATGAAAACATTTTTACAGTAATCAGTATAAGAGATCTTAAAATCAGTATAGCTTACTATCCTCTTACAAATATTCAATAAACCAGTAAATCAATTCTATAAACCAATTTAGAAGAAGCTATGAACTTTTTTTTTATATATATTAGAAAAATCCAAGTAAGTTATGCACACTGTTTGTTATGTCAAAAGAAGAGAAAAGATCCCCAGTAACATGTAAACATACAGGTTCTTTTCTTTTCTCTATTATGGATTCTATTGTGTCATTTTGTGTTGTGTGGTTGAAAGGTAAAGATGAAAAGTAAGAGTTTACAGATAATTTTATAAAGAAATTATGACTCTCATAAATATATAAAACATACGCTGTCTGTTATTTTAGGTTATTAAATAATGAAAAAGCCAGAAACAATTAGTTATAATTGATCAAAAAAATTCAAATAATCACACAAGAATATAAGAAATGCTGACATGAATTTGTAAATAGATGCAAAATAGTTCTATCCTCAGAACATAATCATGTTAATTCCACTGAACATGTTGCTGTTGTTGTTGTTGTTATGTGCCGTGGAGTCAGTTCCGACTCATAGTGACGCTGTACAGGGTTTCTGAGGCTGTAACTCTTAATTAATGGTAGCAGAAAACCTCATCTTTCTCTCGTGGAACAGCTGGTAGTTTGGAACTGTTGACCGTGAGATTAGCAGCCCGATTGGTAACCACTATGTAATTACATTTCTATGACAAAGACTAATAAGATGAGGCTTTCTACTCCCGTAAAGATTTACACCCTCGGAAACCCTGTACAGGGTCGCTATGGGTCGGAACCGACTCAACGGCACTTAAACAACAACAACAACATCAGTTTTCTATAAGCTACATAGTTGCAAATAGCTAAAAAATGAAGAAATAACCAACATTGGTACACAAGAAAATACATTCTAATTTACTCATTTGTGGCACTGTAGGATAAGCACTGGACCGCAAGGTCAGTTTGAACTTCAAGGTCACCAACCACTAAACAATATTACATATACAGAGTAATACATATTCTAGAATAAGTCAAAAGGTATTGTGAGATGGCATTGTTCGTGTTGCTGTTGTTAAGTGCTGTTGAGTCAGTTTTGAGCCATAGTGACCCTGTGTAGGGTCTCTGAGGAGCAGCTGGTGAGCTTGAACCTCCAACCTTGTAGTTCAAACCAAGTTTGCAGTCCACAGAAACAATTATTAAACAAAAATATCAAAATGTGAAACTATTGTTTCTTAACATATCCTCCAGAATGGTTCATACACTTCTGGAGGCAATGCTTCCATCTCTCTAATCCTTCCCGGAACAATTCTGTGCTCTTCAATTTGCATCATATTAAAAAGGCAGGTTTGACATCCTCAAGGGGCTCAAATCATGTTCCTTTTGAATGGTCTTTGAGTTTGAGAGGAAAATGCAATTTGATGGGCCATGCTAAGGGCTGTAAGATACATTGCTAAGGTTTCCCAATGAATTTGTTTTACGGCAGCCTGTGATATGCCTGAAGAATGAGCAGGTGCATTGTTAGGATGGGAAATTAAAATTTCTCTATGTAGCTTTTCTGGCTTTTTTCTCACCATTACAACTTTCTTAAAACATTATAAATTTCTTAAAACTCCTACATAATTAGCCCCTAAGGAGTTCTGGTAGCATTGTTGTTGTCGTTAGGTGTCATCAAGTCAGTACTG